GGGAGGTAGGTAGGCAGGCAGGCAGGGAGGTCTGGGCCTGAACTGGTGCCGTTGTAGGAGCTGGTGTTGGATTTCGAGGCCAGGCCACACCTGTCGGCCCCCTAAACCCTAAACCCTAAACCGCTTTGGAGAATGAGGGCTTGGGACTTAGAGTGTAGGGTTCCGGGCGCAAGCTTCAGAAGCTTCAGGTTTGGAAGTTTAGGTTTTAGGGTTTAGGGTTTGGGTTGGGAAGTTGGGGAGCACTTCTTGCGGTGCTGGGTGAAGATGTAGGGTTTTAGGGAAGGGTAGGTTTAAGTTTGCTTGGCGCGTGTTTGTTGGCTTCTTGTCCGTCCACTTCGGGACATGCAGGTGGCTTCGGAGGTTGCCCTATGGCCCTACGAGTATCTGATGCTCAGGGGTACTATACTATCAGGGTTTGACAAGGATCCCTGACGACAACCCGAATGAGCCCGCAAACCAAACCCAGAGCCTTTTGCCAGGGGAGCCGGGTAAGCCCTACACCCTTAGCCCCATGCGCGACAGCAAGGCGGCCATCCCTCCGTTCCAGGCCACTCGCTCGATCCAACATCTGTGGTGAGGCGAGGTCGCCACTCGACGCGGAGATCCAGGACCACAAGAAATTTGGCCATCAGGACGGAGCTTTCCACAAAAAGAGGTGAACATCTTCGCCCGATATCCGTGCCCCGTCGCCAGAACCGTTTGCACTGCAGTCGCCCTCTCGGTGGAATCGCTGCGTGCCATGGCAGGTTGGTGGGCTGACACCGACACGCCCGACGTCATGCGTTCAACTAACTGGCGGGGATGCCTCTGAGGTTCAGCCCGGACCTACTGACCAGGTTCGCCAGCTCCATGCCCAAAGTATCCAAAGAATATGAAAATAGGATTTATGATTGGATGTAGGACCGTAGTATTGTAGATCAGTATGTAGATTTAAGGCGTATATGACTTTATACGTGGTACGTGGACCCCTCGATTGCCTAGGAGCTTCGACGTTGAGTAGCACATTGACTCATCGCTCCTGATCTCTGTTCTCAGAGTCTACAACCCCCGAGTACAGTGTAACGTAGGGGCCTTAATAATTAGAAAGGAGTTTTGGGGGGCTCCTTATTGAAATTACAGTATAATATACCCTCAAACCCTATTCTAATTAGTTGAGGCCCCTATATTAGGTCTTCTTGCCCTTAGCATCCAGCAAGTCCTGCGTAAGTAGACATGTCTTGGGCCCCTACCAAAAATATAGGGACCTTAATACTTAGACAAGGGCTTCGGGTAAAATATTATACTAGAAGCCCAAGAATCCTATTCTAATTAGTGAGGGCCCTGCCAATACCCAAGAGCTCCTATGTGGCTCCTGTTTGGATAGTATACTGTAATTCCTTACCAAAAAACTATAACAGAGCCAAAAAGGAACTACATTGGAGCCCCTGCCAATAGTGCCCTCCTGTCCGCAGACTGACACCGCGAGCCTTGAAAGGGAGGCCAAGGAG